TAAACGAATGTTCTGTAGAAGTGGTTGGCGCATCGGTTGTGGCTTAGACTCCCAACCTTGAAGTCGGGGGTTCGAAACTTTCGCTGTGCAAGTCGCTTGTGTCCTTGGGCAAGGCACTTTATCTACGGTTGTCTCTCTAGTCTCCACCCAGGAGTGCAAGTGGGTACCTGGTAGCTTCAAACACAACCATGCGCTGATTACAGCTGCAACATTATGGGGCATGAATGTTGTTCCATGTGCTTGATCCAGTGACCGGAGGTAGTAATGTAAAGCGCATAGATCTTAGTCTACAATTTGCGCTATATAAGTCGACAATTATTATATAATTATTATGAATAAACGATAATATCTCAACTTTGAATGCAATTTCATTTCTTCAAGGTACCTTTGTTGTTCAATATCGGTACGGGTAGCTGTTAGCTTAAAGTCATTAATGAAACTGAATTTGTCATCAATATATTGTGAAACCATACCATAACATACCTCAAAAACAAAATAAATCATTCATGGCCAAATACATTAATTTCTTTCGATTTTTCTCAACCGAGAGGCACAAAATTTAAATAAGTATCAATTGAAATAATGTGCGACCAAACCAAACCTGAATGACGCTAACAAAACAATTATTATTATTGTATAGTGAATATTCAATACATCTTCTTTCATTAGGCCTACTGCTTTTGCTATGTTATCAATGTAGTCTGGCTTTTGCACATATATAGATTATCATCTAATTATAACTGCTTAAAATATAGCTCAATTTCCACCAAATCATGTGCCCATTCACACACTAATCCTAAAATAGGAACCTAAAATTGTGTATTTCGTGTCTTTTGAGTTGAATTTTTTTTTTGTATTTTCAGTATATGAAACACTCATTGTAGCCCTACATTACACAAAAATTAAATAATAAAAACTGACCGTTTCCAACTGAAGATTGTGTATCCTCAAAAATATCAATAGAGCATTCCTTTTCAAGGTTTGCTTGTTGTCTAGAGGTCCCTGCACCTTTTAATATCATTTTCTTCAACCTCTCTAATAAAGAGAATACAAAAATATGTTTTTTTAATATGAAGAAAAACAACTTTCAAATGGTTTATAGCAATTTAAAAAGAAAATAGCTATTTCTGGGGAAAATAGTTCATATGAAATAATTATTATTTATAGTAGGCCTAATTCATGGTGGAGATAATTTTGCAAGAAGAAAATCTTAGATTTTTGATACCTATGTATCATGCATTTAAAGAAGGTGTGTAGATTTTAAAGGTAATTGTTAAAATTACAATTGTAATTTCATTGTTCTTTCACTTGTTATGCATTTATTATTGCACATTAAAAAATGTAGAAATGATAATAGTTTAATTATACCTTTTTGACATTGTTAAATAATTTTAGAACAGAAATTATAGAAAAAGTGATAGTCTTAATGATAATGATAGCAAAAATAATAATACCAAATTTAATGAGATTGGTAATAATAATGATAATAAAGGATATCTGAAGAACAAAAACAAACAATATAATTTCACTGAGCTTGATTATAAATAAAGTAGATTTAAAATAAATTTAATAATAAATAATATTTAAATTATTGATGATATACACTTGGTGTAATCTGCAAAAACTGCTTAGGAATGTGTACTCTGGTAGACTATATAAAAATAATTATGCTATATTTAAATTATTTGTTAAAGGTAACTAAAAAAATTGAAGAAAAGTTTTCTCTGTATCAACCCTTAAATTGTGTAATAAAAGTTAAAAAATATGTAGAAAAATGGAGTTTTAACTATTTTGGTAATTGATAACGAATTAATCCTAATTATTTAGTAATTCAATGTTTTCATAGTAACATCTATCAATAATAGTAACATTTTATTAAACTGCCGAATATAAGTGACTTTCTTAGTTATCTTATAATATAGTTTAATTAATATCAATGCTTCATCAATTTATAGTTTAGGATTACTACAAACATAAGATTATGTACCTTGACAAGGCGTTTCAAGATTATCTAAAAGAAAAAATGAAAAATAGTAATGTTAAATTTCTAATCATGTTATACAATTGGAGAAGATCCAATAACATTAACGTTTCAACATATAGGAATAATTCAAATACAGTAGTAAAACAAATTTCAATAAGAAAACTCAATAGCTTTACATTTAAACACTGATTTAGGTTGATTAATGGAAATATGTAATGTGCTTGCTATTATTGTACTTCGCTAAACAACTACTAATATAAATCACCACAACTCACAACCCAATAATACAACTCACCACAGTCACGTAAAGCTTCCAATATTTTTGGCATTAAGTCTAAATCCGATGCTTCAACTTCAGTAAATAGACGACTGATATGTGGCGTGTCCGCACCCTCTGTTATCTTCACTAATATTAGCCTGCCACTATCCAGTTCATTATTGTTTATCATATTTTGAATATTAACATTAGCAGCATACTCTGTCATGGCATTCTGAGGTTGCTCTATGAATCCAATGATTGCCTTTTTGCTTCTGGCCAAAGAGATTTGCACATTGCACGCCCTACCATTACCACTAATCCAGTTTCCTTCTCTAGTGAATATCAATTGTGATTGTCTTTTTAACTTATCCAATAATTCATCCACCCACAGTGTATCATCACACATAATAAACACATCTGAGAGAACTGAAATAATATGATTTAGTATTAGTCATCCTTCAATATTTTCTTTTGAATTTTTATTTCCTTAAAATTAAGTATGATTCATACAGTTAAAGCTAAGCAATATTATATATATTTATAATTTTATTTGTTTCAATCAATCATATTATGTATATATTATATAGGCCTATATTATATTAATTCAAAAATGTTTCGTAGCACTAAATTAAAATGGTAAATGGCAGAAACAGTGCTAGAATAATGAAACAAATGTATATAACTAAACATAGCTCTATAAAAAAAGAATTAAATCCAGCTAATAACACATATCCTCGTACAATACTTCCTGGGGGTAAAGAGACAACTTTTGCAGGTCTTTGCGAAAAACATAGATGCTGAGTCATATAATTGTTTGAACAAAGTAAATATTTTTTGTATTGACATTGTGCCAAGAACATACATTGTGACATTTGGCTCATTATTATATTATTATTATTATTATTATTACTATTATTATTATTATTATTATTATTATTATTATTATAATTATAATTATTATTATTATTATTATTATTATTATTCTATTATTATTATTATTATATTATATTATTATTATTATTATTATTATTATTGTTGTTGTTATTGTTATTGTATAATTATTCATTATTATGTCTAAAATCGTTACCGTTTTGTAAAATAAATTAGTACGGTATCATTCGTAGATTATTTACAGTATTTTGGTTGAAAGATTAGTTTGTTGAAACTGTACATAATCTGTAATTTTGTAAGCTCTTTGGGGCACAATTTTAGAGTACGCCTATCGTATTGCAAGGTACGTAGTTGACTCGCCCTCATTTTCACCAGCTTTTCTAGTTGCATGCTGGAGAAACATCAATTGGATTTTATACAACTCAAATCATTATCAGCTAACCAAAACATTGTATAACTTCCTCCCCGATGCTAAGGTGTGCCTTGTGAAGAGCCTCAATAAAAATATAAACAAAATAATAACATCCTTAGGATTAGAGTGGCTTAAAATTCCAACAATTTCACAGTTTTAGAAGAAAACCGACTTTCATCTAGTCGGAGAAAATCTTCAAAGTTTTTAGGCAAAATCATTAAAACATACCTGGATCGCCAGAAATTGCTACCGCATCTGTAATTAAAGTAAAACTACCGTTTATATTAATGAATATGTAGTAATATATTTAAGCATTTATTGAAACATAGACCAAATTGAATTTATATCATTGACGCAGTATGTTAATTTGTGGCAATTTATTGTTAATTAAACTATAAAACAATGGTACTTAATTCCAGAACGGCAAAAAAGTGGTTATCTAAATCTTTATTTAAGTGCATAAGCAGTAATAACAAAATTTACTAAATTCGTCGGAGTATTTGATCGGTTATTGATGAAATTATAGCCTACGGATGTTATCTACTAATATTTTAAAACTCCGAATGTGTCAGCATTTCAGCCAGTTGAAATACAGAGTCCCTTGGGATTTGATCTGCGCGTAATATACTATAGGCCTGCATCGTCTAATAATATGATACTCGCCAAGAAAGCGAGAGGTTGCAGGTTTGAATTTCACCAGAGAAGAAGTTTTTAATACAACTGAAGAAAGTGACTTTTCGTTGCTATTTTAAAGCATGCTACAATTCGAGCACTTTAATTACGGTATCTATCTGTTTATATTGCGTTTATGGTGCTATGAAGCAAGCCTAAATTAAATCTCTCACAAAACTGACTGAAACCGCGAAATATATACATATATCCTGTCTCTTATACACATCTAGATGTGTATAAGAGACAGCTCTACGATTGTGCCGTAGACTATGTAACATTCAAACATCGTCCGAGCCAAATGTTCATCATATATCTCCGCAGCTGGTGAGACGCATCTGACTACTAGAGCGCATATTAATTTGATTACAGAGCCAAACCAAGGCAATATATATACACAGCCCAGGTGTGAATGCAAATAGTGGAATACAAGCTATGTGGCTCGGTTCCAGTAGATACAGAGAATATTTTGTCACTCTTAACGCGTCCTAAGAAATATGTTCCGCCGTTTTTCTGGAGGTTCTCCCTCTCTCAATTTTCTCATTTATACCCTAGTGATGCTAAAGCAGTGAAACCTTGGTCTCAGAAAAATGGTCACGGGGCCGATGATTTTCACTATACTATGGTGCCAGTTTCATAGAATCTATCAGCAGATTTCCTAGAAACTCAGTGAAACTATCAATACCTAGGCACAAAATGTAGTCTAGAGCTAATATATTTCATTTGCCCACAATGAAACTTTCGGGGCATCATGTGGGCTAAGTGTCCTAACTGAGGTGTGAATTTTCCAAAAATCGAGATATATACTTTTGTGATATCTTGGGTTAAAGGTCAAAGGTCACGTGATTTAACCTATATAATTCTCACTAGTCCGGATATCATCGAATTGCATATCATTGGAAAAAATATCTTCTTCTCTATCCAACGGTACCATAATTTCTCCAATACATTGAGTTTCAAGAGAGATATCAGCAGTTGTCTGTCAGAAGGTGAGTTTTTTTAGCCAAATCTCATGAAAATTTTTAATTGCTCTAACTCATCAGAAAATGCTGGCGCGGAGCCAAAAATTTAACTGTGGGGTTATCTCAGTTAGAACCCACAACATGCAAAATATTGGGCGATTTGAAGTGGGTCGGGCAAAAAAGTGTGTTGATGTAAAGTACGGTGCCACATATGTTCAACATACATAAAATCGGAAATAAATTTGTAACACAGAATAAATCGATTGTAGTCGTTGACTCTTGGAACATAAAATTTGTGTTAAACAAATCGAAGGCACCTGCGTTCCTCTTCAGTGTTAGACGAATACTAAATTAAAATAGGTCTATCAACTTAACTAATATGTACAAATAAAAAAATCTATAATTTATAGCCAATGTATTAGACGGAAAAGAATATGCTCCGATCCCATCGACTATATAACCAGGTCAGCATTCTCGCCTCTAAATGTCTGGAATGTGGATATCCCCTTAAACTCATCGAAACACGCTAAAGCCTCTACTCTACCCCGTTCTCAACTTCTCATCTACAAACCTAAACCTCCTAACAACCGCATTCCAGTCATTTTTGACTTCCACCCTATAGCATTAACACACTTAACAAACAGCTTCGCATAGACTACTCCACTCTCCAACAAGACCCATCAAATCTCTTCAGTGAACCCCCGATCTTTGCCAAACGCCAATCCCCGAATCTCAAACCTATTCTCACATCCTCAGTCATCCCCAATCAACTTCCCAGTAAGACAGGAAATTATCCGGTATACAAACCACGCTGCCAGCTATGCAAACTGTTTATCACAAACAAATCCATTAAATTTGGCCATGCACACTCTACTATCCATCCCCCTCAACTTACTTGCGACACATCTAACATCATTTACCTCATCACTTGCACCAAATGCACATTAGGTAACTACATAGGAGAAACTAAAACCAAATTCCGTCTTAGATTTAATAATCATAAAAAATCTATCAGAGACCATTCTAGAGGCTTTCCTGTAGCCGATCATTTTAATCAGCCAGATCCCTCCCTACAAGACCTTAAACCTCTTCAGTGTTAGACGACCACTAAATTAAAATAGGTCTATCAACTTTACTAATATGTACAAATAAAAAAATCTATAATTTATAGCCAATGTATTAGACTGAAAAGAATATGCTGCGATCCCACCGACTATAATAACCAGGTCAGCATTCTCGCCTCTAAATTTCAGGAATGTAGATATCACCTTAAACTCATCAAAACACGCTAATGCGACTTGTACATATTAGTTAAGTTGATAGACCTATTTTAATTTAATAGTCTTCTAACACTGAAGAGGAACGCAGGCGCATTCGAAATATTTGTTTAATAAAAATTTTATGTTCCAAGGG